CAGGGTCTTTGGCGAGGGTCCGGGGGTCAGCGGGGACAGGGACAGGAGGCAGCTGTGCAGGCTCTCTGGGCAGACAGGCCCCTGAGCCCCGGCCCCGGGAAGCTTCCTGGCCTGTGAGAGCCAAGGGGCCTTCAGCAAGCCCAGGCCGGGCAGGGGAAAGCAAGGCTCCAGGGGGCTGAGGCGTGGAGAGTGGGAGGGCCTGGCGCCCTTCAGCCCCAGCAGTGCCTCACTGGCTCTTGGGCTGGTCCTGAGGCCAGGTCTGGTTTGGGTCAGGAGGCAAGCCTGGGCAGGGGGACTTCCTGGAAGAGGCGGGACTTCCTGGAAGAGGCGACTCCATCCCTGGGCTTTGAGGAGCAGACCCAGTGGGGGACCATCCCGGGTTCATGCGTTTGTCATACGGGGCTGTAGCACGCAGCCCTGTGGCCATGGGGGTGGGGTGGGACCCCTGGGGAGGGGCTGAGGACAGAGACTGCCAGCATGTAAGTGGTCCGCCGCTGTCTGGGCCTCGGGCCCCTTGTGAGGCAGGCCGTGGGGGTCTTGAGCCCCCAGACCACTATCCAAGGAAGCCCAAGTCTGGGGAGACCACCCTCAGACCGCCCTGCCACCCCAATATTGCCATGGCCACTTGCTGCCCCCGACTCCCGGGGCCCAGTCCCTCTGGTGTCTCCCATTCCTCTCCTGAACCCTGACTGAATTTATCCTGGGCTGAATTTACACATGGCCCCAGGCACCAATATCCTGGGGTGAGCCTCTAGGTGCTCCAGATGAAGGCTTGCACCATAGGAGTGTAAAATGTACATTTACTGGCGCGAATAATAATGATTCTGGGGGAAAGCAAGGTGTTTTGAAGCTGGTGGCTGCCATTCCACAAATGGCCACAAGATGTCAGGCTTGGGCCAGATTTGAAAATTCCCACTGTCCAGGTACCTGAAAATGGAAATCAGGAGCAAATCTCAGCCTGCCTCTGTTTCTCCCCGAGCCCCTCTGTGAACAGGGGTCCTTTCTTTCTGCCTCTGTTTCTCCCCGAGCCCCTCTGTGAACAGGGGTCCTTTCTTTCTGCCTCTGTTTCTCCCCGAGCCCCTCTGTGAACAGGGGTCTTTTCTTTCTTCTCTGGCAATTTGAGAACATAGCTAATTTTGTTTTGATACAAATGTTATGCCATTCACTCTGGAAGAAGCAGGAAGGGGCTCTAAGTTTAACCTGTGACTTTCGTTATCCCAATGTCACAATCTTCTGGGATCCAGAAATGCCCCCCAGATAGAGGAATTCCTGACCCCAAGTTCCATATGGCCAGGACAGAGGCAGAAAGGAGCCTCAGAGCTAAGCGCAAGATTGCAGAGACCACCTGTGCCCTTGTTCTGAAGGTAGGGTCTCTTCCTTGTAAGAGAGAAGGGTCACAGTTTCACCTCCCATCTGTCTACCCCACCACCAGCACCCAGGGTGCCCCCCAAATCCTTGCATGTAAGAAATCTGGTTTCTGCTGTTGTAATACCAGAAGTGGACACCAGATGGCAGCACAAGGCCACTTAAGCCGCCTATTAGAAGATTATTGGGTAATTGGGTACTGCCTGGAATTTTCTGGGGACAGCTCAAGTCTATTCTGTAAAAATACCACTTGGCCAGTATGCGGTGGCTCTGCTAGAAGAGCTAAGAGGGAAAGAAATAAAGAGGGCTGTACTGTGTTGGATCTCCTCCCGTCCCACGACCCCTATATGAAAAGTCAATGATATTTAATGCCAGGGGAGGTGACAACCAGCACCCCAACTCCCTGGTGGCCAGTGCCCCTACTCCTGCTTAAACACCCCAGATTCCAAGCTCCTGGTGGAATGAAATCAGCTTGGGCTTGTCCAGAAGGACGTACTACAGGGTGGGGCTTGGACTCATCTTGCCACCTCCAGAATTGGGGTCTGTGGGGTATGGGCTGCTTTCCTTAGTGGCCCCACAGCAGCCAAAGAAACCTGCGTCCTCGATCTGAGACACCCCTCCTGGAGAGATGTCTGTGGGATCTTTCTGACTGGCTGGGGAAGGGCTCTTCACCCTCCCTGGCACATCCTGCCGGGGAGCCCCCACGACGTGTCCTTGGGAAACACACTAGGTGACAGAGCAGGCACAGGGAGCGTGGGTCCTTCAGGCTGGCCCTGCTGTGTGCCGGGGCCACCCGCACCCCTGCCTCCTCTACCCACCTGCCCCGCTCTTCTTCCATTGAGGATGGCCCTGGGCACCTGCACCACGCTGGTTGGGTCCCCGAGTGAGCCTGTCGTCTACCCCCACGTATGCTCTGAGATTCCCACCAAGAAAGAGCTCAGGTGGGACTTGACGTGCAAATGGAGAGGGAAGAATGAAGTCCCAGTATGAGCGGGGAGCCTGGGCAGGGTAAACACCCGGGCATGAGTGGCTGGGTGCAGGGCAGGGCTGGGCATCTCTGGGGAGTGGTCTTCATCTCCTTGTGGGTCTTTGGCCTCCCTCCCAAGTCTCCAAGTACCAGCGACATTCAGTCCAACCAGGCCGTGCTTTCTTTTTAAAAAAAGTTTTTATTTCCTTACATTCGTGGCAGGGAGGTAGGCTCTCATTGTTACTCATTTCCACACGTTTACCACCAGACCCCCACCTCCAGAGTTGCCCCTCCCCCCATCTCAGCACAGCTCGTTGCTGTATTCGGAGCAACTCCCCAATTATGGTCAGCCCTCAGTCCATGCCTTGCTTGGGTGTTGGCCAGGCTGACACAGCTGTTAATGGGCCGGGCACACTGCCCGGTGACGCCCGAGCCACCACCTGCTGCATGGCCCTCACAGCATGCCCGTGCCTCGATGGTACCGGGTGCCACCCACGTGGGGTTGGGGGTCTGGTCAGACACGTGGGACCAAGGGAGAGGCTCCCAGCAGACCCCTGCATCCATAAAACATGGGCAATGTGTTTGCCCTGGGCTGCGGCCACATTGGATGCACATAAAAGGAAATTTTTATGCTTGTTCTCGAACTCAGCTCCTTTTTTGCATAGCCCCGCCCCCATTTTACCTGTGCCACGCCCACAGACATTCCGGGGTGACTGCCAAGTGTCACTCAAGTGATATCACATCCACAGCCCACCCCCTGCACACAGTCCCCACCCCCTAGCTTCCAGGCTTATGTTCACGCCCACAGACACACTTCCGTTGGACGGGGTGGGGTGGAGGGGGGGTAGGGGGCGTGGCAAAGCCCCACCCACTAATGCACTAGTGCCCTGGTATGGGCAGGTGCCCCAGCCAGCTGACCCAGCAATCCCAAGTTGGCACCAACGTTCCCAAATTTGGAGGGGTCCGGAGCGAGGCGTGGGGGGGACGAGGAGGTAAGGGGCATCAGCACCACTCAGCTGGCACTCCAGCAGCTGCAGAGCTGAGCGGCGGAGGGCCATCCCGCTTCCCCGGGCCTGTTACCATGCACACTCTCAAAGTGCCCTTCCCTGTCTCCACAGCCTCAGCCTCGTCCCCCACCACCTCCTCGCAGGCCCGGCTGGGCGGTCTGGGCACCCCGGCCCGAGCACCCCCTACTCTGGCGGAGACTGCTAATCCTAGCCCAGCCAGCGGATCATCGTCCGGGCAGTTTCGGCAGAGGGCCCTGGGCACCAGCGACTCCCCGGTCCTCTTCCTCCACCGTCCGGGAGCCCTTGGGACCACGCAGCGACTAGAGTACAGGTATCCGGCCTGCCTCCCCCGTGGCTGAGCATGGGTGTTGGGGGCCTGGTGGGACATGGGACCGGACTGCAGCCGGCCCTCTGGAGACAGAGTGGAGGAACCCTGCCCCAGAGCCCCAGGCGGGGAGATGGCTCTCCCCACATGGCTGACTGGGCTGGAGGGAGGAGGCCGGGCGCCTGCCTGCGGGAATGAATGGCTGTTCTCACCAGTGTGTGAGGAAGGACTTTTCTAGGAGACATTTCCTCATAGATCTGAGATTAGAGGGTACGTGGCTGCTCCCTGCACCCTGACCTCAAAAGTGACACTGTGGATGGGGCCAGGCAGGGTCCAAGGCTGAGCTTTGGAGCGGGGTGGCCTTTCTCTGCACAGAGAAAACCCCAGGATGCTTCCCCCCCCCCCCCCAGAGGCACTGAGTTAGGAGGGTTAGCGCAGTGCCCAGCAGGGGGTGCTGTTTCTCTGAGGGTGGACGGCCGGGTCCAGTGGCCTCCCCAGGCCCCAGCAATGCACAAAGGCAGAGGACCGTGTGTGCACGGTGCCCCCTGCGTCCCAGCCCTCAGCCCCCACAAGTGCTGTCTGGGTGGGGTGGGGGGCTCATTCCCCGGGAAGCCTGGTGGCCCTCTCCTTGGGCTGACCTCCTGATGCAGTACTGTGTGCCCTGCAGGAGGGGGCGCTCCTGTCTTGTGCTGTGAGTCCTCACCAACCCCCCCCCCCCGCCCCCCAGGAAGGGGCCAGCCTGCCCACTGACAGCACACCCGCAGGTGTCAGGCATGATAGCTGTGCCCAACTGTCCCCCTCCTTTGTATGTGAAAAGTGGGGGTCTGGGCAGCTGGAGGAGCAGGTGGGGAAGAAGAGGGGGCGGGGGGTGCTCCTGGTGGCAGCAGGCCCGGGTGGGGAGGGGTGACTGTGTGGGGATCATGTGAAGATCATCCTTCTGCTTTCCCCAGGGGCCGAGTGGTCACTGCTGAGCCTCCAAGGGAAGAGGGAGGCCCCGGTCCTCAGCCTGAGAGCCCAGCGCCAGCCCAGCCCGAGCCGCAGCCCGAGCAGCCTTCTCAGCCGGAGGCCCAGCAGGCCGGAGCAGCCCCCGAGCCCAGCCCGCCCAGCCCGCCCAGCCCTGAGGTGAGCTGCTGCGGCCTGTGGCTAAGAAGGTCCCCGCGCTCCCAAGACTGAGGCCCACGGCCCGCGGCCCACGGCAGGGTCAGCGCCAGCCCCGTGCGGTAAGTGTCCGGTGTCTGCTGCTGCCCGGGTCCTGGCCGCAGGTGCAGCTGATCTGGAGTCCACGTGTCCAGTGCCCGGGCACAGACCTGGAGCCTCTGCCCCCCACCCTGCAGCTTTACAGGAAGCCCACGGGCTGAAGGGGCACAGAGTCACACGGTGGGGTGAAGGGGCACGGAGTCCCAGTGCGGGGTGTGGAATTTAGGGGGGCTCCGGGTACCCCATCTGGGGCTGGGCGTCGAGGGCTCCTAGGCCTTGGTGGCGGCAGCAGCAGCAGCAGCAGCAGCAGCGGCAGCAGCGGCGGTGGCGGCAGCTTCTTGGCCAGGAAGGGCAGAGGCCGGAGCAGGCAGGGGGAGGGCAGGCTGTCCCAGCCAGGAAGGCAGGGGCTCCGGCTGAGGGAAGGGGGGAGAAGAGGGGGGGAAATCAGCAGGTGGGAATAGGGAGAGTCCTCGAGAAAAGCTGGGTCCAGCTGGTGGGGTGCAAGGGGCCCCCTCCTCCGCCCTGTTTGTCAAGGTGGGTGGCGGTCTCAATTGTGCGGGCGGAAAATGAGATAATGACCGCAAACGCCCCCTGAGCCGGGCGGCCTTGCGGCGGCCGGCGATTCCATTGTGTCTCGGAGGCCGGGGGCTTCCTGTGTGTGAAGGGGGTGTGGGCAGTCAGGAGGCCCAGGGCCCAGAACCACCCTGCGGCTCACTCGGCCGGAGCAAGCTGAGGGGTGCTGTCCCTGTAGTTCGCCGATCAGGTACAGGGCTGAGGGAGCGAGGCCTGGGCCTTGGGTACAGGGGTGTGACTGGAGGGTCTGTGTCCTTGGGCCTGACCCCTGCCACCAGGGCAGCAGGCCTTGGGGCCTGAGGGGCGGAGTGGGCAGGTGACCCCCTTCCAGGCGGCTGTACCAGGGAGAAGAGGCCTTTCCTTAGAAGGTGTCATAAGAAGTCACAGGTACCGGTGGAGCAGCCTGGGTCCCTCCCCAGTGGACCCCCCATGACCCACCGTCCGTTGCCCCCCACCCCCGACCCTGACTTACTGTTGGCTGTGGGTGTGCTGATCCGCCATGGGCCCTGTGCCATTGGGCGCTGCTGGCTCCGGGCAGTGCGGCCCCTTCCCCGAGCCTTGTGGGGTGCCCGGCTCCAGGGCAGGGCGGGTGGGGTGGAAGGAGGGTGTGGAGGGGTGCCGAGCTGGGGGTGCCCAAGGGTGGGCTGGGGGGTGGCCGGCGGCCAGCTGGGAGCGCAGCTAGGGGAGGAAATGGGGCGGGGAGAGGGGAAGGCCCACCGCCAGACCAGGCAGGCAACTGGGGAACAGGCCGGAAGGCCCAGGATGGGGCGCGGGCCAGTCTCTGAGGGGTGGCCCCGTCCTGGAAGGGTGTCCATCCTCTTCAGAACTGGGATTTCCTCACCCGGGGGACACCAGCCCTTGCCTAGTGGTGACCCCTGTGCTCCTCAGCGCGGGGGCCACACCAATGCTGCCCCAGCCCCAGCCCCAGCCCCCCTCAAGCTGTTGGTGGGACCTGTCCGGAAGGAGGGGAAGAGGGCTCAGGGACAGAAGCTGGCCGCAGGTCATGGCGGGGGTGGGAGAGGCCCCTTTTGAGCCCTAGGGTGACCTGGCGCTGTCCCATCAGCCACGCTGTTGACTAAATAAGGCCAGGCGAGGGCTCTGGGCAGCTGGGAGGGGGGGAGCGAGGGAAGCGCATGTGTGCCCCCTGCCCGCCTGCCCTGGCACGGCTCCCAGGCCCTGGCAGCCAGCTCTCCAGTGAGCTCCCCAAGGTGACCCCCAGCTTCTTCCTACCTGGCCAATCAGGACGCATGTCGTGGTCCACGTGGCAGTGGTTTCTCCAGGGATAGGCACTCCTGCAGGGCAGAGCAGAGCAGAGGGACCCCCAAATAGCAACCCCCCGCCCTGTCAGATGACCCCTGACCTCTCCCCAATATGGAAGAGAGCGGGGCTCTGGGCCTGGACTCTCACCACCCGGTGAGCCACACACACCCCAGCCTGGGAGCTGGCAGCAGGGCCGGGGGCGCCAGCCCTGCTTCCAGCCAGCCCAGACCCCTCCGCCGGGCTCAGAGCCAGCCCCACGCTGCAGCAGAAGGGGGTGCGGGCAGGCCCTTTCTAAAACACTCTCACCCCCCAAATTGACAAGTCCCCACGGAGAGAGGCAGAGGGCCACGCCCCGGCCTCCACACCCCAGCCTCCTCGCTGCGGCTCCCGAGGTCTGCAGGCACACCCGTGGCCTGAGAATGCAGGGAGGGGCGGGTGGGAAGGAGAGGGGGGCAGCAATGGGGGAGACCGACCAGATGTTCTTGGAATGGGACGCGGGGTGATTGGTGGGGGCTGGAATTCGAGGGGGGAGTGCCCCTGCTCTGGGCTGCTTTTCATGGGAGGGGGGTCCAGGCCTTGGCACGCGGGCAGCGGGAAGGAAATGCCTTCGCCCGGTCCCCACACCTGTCTTGTGGCCTTAACCCTTTCCTGCCCAACGCCCCAATGTGCCAGGCCTCATGGCTCCTTCCCCATGTGTGTGGGGGGTGCTGACCGGTGAGAGCAGCCACCCCAGGGTGGCACCCCCAGTCTGCCCTGGTTTCTACGCCGGGTGGGGGTGATGTCCCCTCCGGCCTCCTCCACGCCACAGCCCCCCTCACCCCCCCACGCTGCCCCCTCCCTCAGGCTAACATCCTGGGCTTCTGTCTCTGAGTCCTGGGGGCCTGGGCCCCGTGGGGGAAACGGGTGGCAAATCCTCGTGGAGAAAACGAAAGGGGGTCTTGGCACCCCAGCACCCCCTCCATTTCCTCTCCACTTTCGCGTCGCGCAAACAAAGTCACCATGGGCCGCAGTCAGGGAAGGCCGGGCGCAGGCGCGGGGCTCCGGGCGCGCTGGGGCGGGCGGGGGGCTGCCGCCCGGGGTACCCCAAAGCCCCCAGGCCGAGCCAGGGCCGAGCCTGCCCCCCGGCGGCCGCACGGCCGCGGCTTCGCCTAGGCTCGCGGCGAGGAAGCGCGTGGGGTGCAGCGGGCGGCGGGGCGCGGGGGACCGAGGACACCTGGGGAGCAGCGCCAGGCCGCCCCCGTCCACCCCCCCTCCCCGGCCAGCCCGCCCGGCGCTGGCTCAGACCGGGCCGGAGAGGGAGCGGTCCACGTCCCGGGGCGCCCACGCTACCTGCCCCGCCGCCGCCCCCCCCCCCATCCCGGCGGCTCCCGCGCGCGTGCGCGCCGCGGGGTCCTGGGCAGGCTGGGCGCAGCTGCTGCAGGCGCGGGGCGCACGGGTCCCCGGGTCCTCCCCCCCCCTCCCCGCAGACGGGGCCCTCGGCTTCTCAAATGCAGCCCCCTCCCGGATCTGCGGCCCCCCGCAGCCGGCCCCGGTTTCTGGGGTCTGCCGGTTTCCCCAGATCCACTCACCGCGTGCAGGGCGCGCAGCAAAGCCGTCTGACTTGAGCTTCAGACGGCTGGGGGCCGGAGGGGCTGCCGGCGCCTCCCGATGTAGAACCGCGGGGCCGCGCGCCCAACCCCGCATTTCCCCCGTCGGCCTTCACGTCCGTCCCCCAGCCCCGACCTAGGCTCCCGGGCACGGAGGTCCCCGTGGCGCCGCGGCGTCCACGCGCGCCCTCAGCGTCCGCGCGCTGTCCCCACGCAAGGGACCTCGGTTCTCCCGCGGCCTCAGCACTGCGGCCGCTGGGCTAAGTCTTGGAAGTGGCCTCCGGGTGCCCACCCTCACACTTCTCGCTTTGTCTGCCTTGTGGGTTCGGAATTTCCACACCGACTTCCACCAGCTGTGGTCCCGAGCTTGGGTTCCTGTGTCCTAGCTTTCTTTAATGCCCCGAACAATTTTCCTTTCTTTTCCTAGACCAGCTTCCCCCTCCCAGGCCTGGACCTCCCCTCAAAGTCCCCCGCCTTTCCCCAAAGTCAGGCATCGTACCCAAACGTTTCAGCCATCTAAGGTCTCCCATCTAGGATGGGAGAAAATGCTTTTTTTTCACCCTCCAACAATGAAAACTTACTTAACAGCCCCCCCCCCCCCACCGCCATGAGCCATACAACTTCGGGATATGCAATCCCACAACCCTGCCAGCTTCCTGACCCTTTACTTTGGTTTTTTAGAATGTGGGGTGCTTCAGGCAGGCCCCACAAACACGGGGGACAATTATCCCAGGTGTGTTCACAGGGTGCCGAGGGTCCCAGGTCACCCAAGCACAGAGCCACCCCGGGAAATGGGCTTTTGTTGTTGTTCTTTTTCTACTCAGACTTTGTTAAAGATTCATAATTCCCAAACAGAATTTTCTCCCGTCTCTTAACATGTTGAATGCTAAAACACCACCTGGGTCCCTTAGCTTAGCTGACAAGCATTTTTGTAAACTGCAAACACCGATTTCCAAATTCCAGCCGCAGGACCCTTTTCCCGATTCCCATATTTGCGTGTGCTGGGGTTCCTTCCAATATTAGGCAATGTCCTGCAGCCCCCCAACATATTCAGCATTATACTTGGGTCATGGAACGGCCCTGTGTTCTCTGGCTGGAGTGCAGGCCACGTACCCAAAGTCCCCCACACTTAGGCAATATTTCCTGCAAACACTGAGCTGGCCCTTCAGGTCACCAATGCAGAGCACTGATTCTCCAGGCCCTAAGAATTAGGGACTCTTAATCCCTTTTCTTAGAACTTAGATGATGAGCCCCCTACTTCCCCCCCTCCCCAAGACCCCCACACAGTCCTTGAAGAATTTCAAGCAACTTTCCTGGATCCTTGGATTAAAAAATATGTATTTTCCTAAGATCCAGAAAATGTTTACACTCCAAAAAAAAAAAAGAATTTTTCCCTCTGCAGAAACACAGCTTTTATAAAATGTTAATGAACTTTGTACAACTTTATGACCACCCCCATCCGGAGTCTCCCTAAATTAGGTCAGGTTTCATGGGTCCCCCCTTAAGCACAACAACAATAACAAAATGTTCCCGGGTCCCAGAAATCCCAGGTTTTAAAGATCCCATAAATTTCCTAGCTACTAACTCAGCCTCCTGAAATTTAGATGGCAATCTCCTTCCCCACCTCACAGATCCCCAAAACTTGGAACTCGTTTTGCTGGGATTTCCCAGAAAAATGTGGCCCAGGAAAACCTAGAGGATGCCCCCCACATTTCAACAACAAAACCAAACCAAAAACTAAGCCACACTTACTTATCAAATTAAATCAGAAAAGGACATTGCTCTCCCCGACCGCCTTCCTCAAATGGACTGCTTGCACTCTGGGTCCCCCCACTCTCTCCCTAAAATTTTAGTGGTCTCCAAAGTAAGCTTGAATGGTTTCCCCCAACTTGAAGGCTTCTCCCCGCATCTGCCGTGCCCAGACAGGTCAGTGCGCTCATTGATCTACACACCCAACATGTGGACGTTGATCCCTGCTCCCCCCAGCACTAATAAGAATCTGCTCGGAGCCCCAACATGAGCCTGCTGTCTCTGCCCCGCCGGGGAACGTGTCTCCCAGGTTCCCCAGATTTCATTTAAAGAAATTTCTTTGACTTGACCAAAAAAAAAAAAAATCCCAATCTTTGCAAATTACTCTTGAATTTTGTGAGCCCCCCCAAACTTGCCGATCAAGTTTCTGGGCTCCCCAATTTTAGACGAGTCCCTAGTCCCCCTCCAAGCGCACGGAGCAATTTCTCTCATCTCCCACACTTGAACTCCATTTTGGGGGAGTCTGAGATTTACTCATTAATCACGACTCCCCCCTCCCCTTAACAAAGTCTTCCCGTCACTCTGCCTCTCCGCTGCAAGCCGGACAGAGCTCTGCATTGGGGTGCCCGGTTTCGGGGCACGGTCTTTGACCTGCCAGCCGCCCTGGGCAGTCCCCCCGGTCCCCCCGCGCGCTGGCACTGGCTTAGCCTCCCGTTGGATTTTGGACACCTCTGTGTGTGCCCGGCACAACCAGGACAACGGTGCGACCGCTCGGACGTGCGGACGTGCGCGCCGCGGCTCCCGCGCCCCGGGAACCACTGGGCATTGCCCCCAGTTTCCCCCAAATTTGGGCATCGTACCCGAGTCTTCCAATCGACTGGGCGTTGCCCCTGGACACCGGGGACTGCCCCCCCGGGGTCCACTCACCTCCAGCAGCGTCCGCTGCCCTCCACCGGGAGTTCGGCCGCCCTCCTCGGCTCCTCGCGCGCCTGCGGACGTCGTCCCCGACCTCGCGGTGAGCTCCCCGCGCGCGCGCGCGCCGCTGCCCGCCGCCCTCCTGCCTCGACCGGCGTTCGCTCGCCTCCCGCTGCGCCCGGGAGGCCCCGGGAGCGGCACGGGGCAGCCCCGCACTCCCTCGGGCTGGGCGCCCCGCACGGCGCCGCTTTCCTTTTCTCTTTGCAAAGATCTCGGCCGCGGGGGAAGGCGGTGCGGGGCCGCGCGCCGGGCCGCCGGCCGTCCGGGCTCGGGCGGGCGGGCGCGCGCCGAGCCGGCACCGGCCGCGGCTCCCGGCGGGGAAGGGTGAGCGGGCGCGCGGGCTTCCGCCGCCCGGGCCAGGCGCGGGCCGCGCGGGTGGACGGGGTGCACGGATTGGGGAATGGTTTTGACTTGGTTTTTTAAAAATCACACTACTTAAGTTAACGTCGTCCAAACTCTCCAGGAGATGGGTTCCCCAGATCCCCAAATTATCGTGGTGGCCCCCGGGGCTGAACCCGCGTCTACGGAAGGCCAACGCACCGAGGACGGGGGAGCCATTGTCCGGATATTCTGGGTGGGTCCCCAAAGCGAGCTGCTTAAGCGCATCCCGGTGAGCTCCGCCGCGCAGGTAGGAACTGAGCTTCGCTTCCGCCCCGCCGCTCTCCTCGCCGGTCCGCGTCCGGCCGGCCCGGCCCCGCGCGCGCGCACCTGGCGGCCGCCCGGGCTGCTCCGGGCTCCGCGCGGCGCCGGGGGGCGCTCGGGACCAGGCGTCCGTCCGAGGTGCCGCGCGGCGGGCTCCGCCTGCCGGGGCAGGTGGCGGCAGCGCGCTCGGCGCGAACCCGGGGAAGCCGCCTCTTCCCCGGGCCGCTGCCGACCGGGACCCGCGGGGCGCGCCGAGACCCCGGTTACTGCGAGGGCCTGCGCCGTGAACCCCCAATACTGCGAGACCCCAATAACTCGAGGGCTTGCGCCGAGATCCCCCCGCTCCTGGGAGACCCCTTCCCCACGGCTCCGAGGGCCTCTCGGCCACCGGCCCCGGCCCCCCGGAAACGGGACCAGGCCCCGCGAAGCCTCCGGAGCGGGGTGGGGGTGGGGAGGACCTGGGAGCGCGATCGCCTCGGGGGGCTTCCCAGCCCCCACCCGGGCCGGGCGGCCGTACCCCGAGGGGGCCACCCCCCCCACCGCCCGAGGGCCCCGGCCCGCATTCCCGCCCGTGGCTCGAGTTGCGGGGGGCGGTCCCGGGGCGGGGCGAGGGCCCCCGCGGGCGCCCATTGGCGCGGGCGCGCGGCCAGCGGGGCCCGAGCGGGCGCCGAGCCGCGGGGTGGCGCGGCTATAAGAGCCGGGCGTCGGCGCCCGCAGTTCGCCTGCTCTCCGGCGGAGCTGCGTGAGGCCAGGCCGGGGCCGGCCCCCCCCTTCCGGCCGCCCCCCGCCTCCCGGCCCACGCCCGCCCGCGCTCGGCCCGCCAGCGCCTCCATCCGGGCTGGCGGCCCCGCGTCGACGCCGTCCGCCGTCTCGCTGCTAACTCCCGTCTCGGGCGCCGTCGGCGGGGCCGCGCTCCGCCGGTCCTGCGGATTCCCCGCCGCCTCCTCTCCATCTACCTCGACGCCCGTCCCGCTTCGCCCGAGGAGGCGGTCCCCACCGCAGGCAGTCCGGCTCGCAGGCCGCCGGCGTCGTCATCCCCCGCGCTCCCCTCCCGGCCCTCCCCGGTGCGCGCCGGCCGCTCCCCTCCTCTGTCCGCCGCGTCCCGAGCGAGCGGCCGCGGCGCCGCCACGCCCTCCCCTCCCCAGGCCCGGGCCCGCGACGGCCGAGGGCTCCGTCGGCCCACACCGAGCTGGGTAGCTCGCGGCCGGGGAACCCCCACCTCTCCTCCGCCCTGTCACCTCCGCCCCCGACCCCGACGTCGCGTCCGCGCCCGGCTCCGGCCCTGGCGCGGACCCCCTCGCCTCCCTCCCGGGGCGCCCGCCCCCACCCCGCTCCTGGCCTCCACGCCCTCCCCGTCTCGCCGCCCCCCCTCTGCGCCATGGATTAACTCCGGTTTCTGTTTCTCTCGACTGTCCTTCCCCCTGTGACCTGCCCGCCTCTCGCTGTCCCCTCTCCCTCTCGCCCTCTCTCTGGCCCCCCCCGTTTCTCGTTCACTCTGTCTCTCTCTCTGTCTCTGCCCCCGATCTGTCCTTGGTACAACAGCTGACCTCATTTCCCGACACCTTTTCCCCCCCTAAAGTACAACATCTGGCCCGCCCCGGCCCCGAGACTGCCCGTCCTCCCTAAGAGAAGCAGAAGCGTCCCCCCCCAAAAAAAGCCATCCTCCCGCTCTGCCGGGCGCCATCCGGCCCCCGCGACCCGGCCAGAGCGGCGCTGGCCGAGGAGTGCCCGGCAGGAGGGCCAACGCCCGCTGCTCGGTTTGAGACCACGCAGCAGGGAGGTGGGCGGCGGCATCGCCGGCTTCCAGGTAAGCGGGGCCGGGCGCGCGGCGGCCGCCGGCGGCGGCGGCGGGCGCGGGGGGCTGGGAGCTGTCCGGGCCGGAGGCGCGCGGCGCGGCGCGGGGAGGGCGGCGCGGGGAGGGCGGAGGGCGCGCGGCGCGGGTCCCAGCCGTCCGCCGGGCGCACGGACTTCCTGGTCTGTTGAGCGGAGTGTGATTTGGGCCACGCGGGGCTCGGCGCCGAGGCCGAAACCCACTGGGGCGCGCTGACTTGGTGCCAGACGAGTCTGGGAGGGGGGGTCTGGGGGGGCTGGAGGGGGCCGAATTGGCAAAGGCGGCCCGCCAGACGCCACATTGGCAGTATTGTCTCCCCCCCCCCCATCTCTGCCCCTCAGCCTGGAATCTGGGGAGAAGGGGCCGGCTTGAGGCTCGGGAGGGCCAGGCCGGGGATAGCACAGAGAGGGGTGAACGGCCCCCCGCTCTCTCGCCGGGGCAGCATGGAAGTTTCCATGAGACGTAGCTGGAAGGGAGCCCCCCCCTCTCCCTCCCCCCTCCCCCCGCCGCGGCCCCGGTGCGGAGCTGGGCCGGGGGGCGCAGATCGAGCCCCCCCTCGCGGTGCTCGGCGGAGGAATAGCGGTGGGGGGGTGTGGGAGACAGGGGACTGGCTGGAAGGAGGGAGGGGGCGGGTGCAAAGGGGGCGGGGGGAGTGGTCAGCGGGGAGGGGTGGGGTGGAGCCGGGGCTGGGCGGAGCCCGCTCAGACATAAAAGCCGAGGCACTGACCAGCTTGCAAACTGGACATTAGCTCCTCCTGTGAGAGACTTCCAGCCTCCTCCTCCTCCTTCTCCTCCAGCCGCAGCGAGCCTCCTGTCCAGCTGCAGGTAACAAGGGCTGTGGAGCCAAGACCCTGCTGCCGTCCGGCTCTGGCCTGCCCTGCCCGATGGGGTCCCTGGGGCAGTGGCCCAGCCTCGGCCCTCCGCCCTGCGGCCCGGCCTGCTGCCTCCTCTGCCGCCTTCGTCCTCTTCTGGGCCTCTGCCCCCTGTGCTCCCACCTGGCTCCCTGGCTTCTCCTCCTCCCTTTTCTTTTCTCTCTTCCCCTCTGCCTCTTTCCTCCAACAGTTTGCATCTTTTCCTGGACCCTCACCTGTGTCCAACCTCCACTTGCCTCCAGGCCAGTCTCTTGCTCTCTGCGGCGCCCTGGCTTGGACATGGAGCTAGAGTGGTCGGGTTTTCGGGACCTCCAGCTGCTCCTCGGACAGACGCCGGCTGAGTGTTCCTAGAGTTTGGAAGTGGGGGATGGGGGGGTCCTGTGGAGAGGCGGGCAAGGTGACTTTCAGACCTCACTGTGAAGCGGGCTGCTCTCCTGGGAGAGCTCCAGCAAGATTGTTTCTTTCTCCACATGATTTATTGCCTTAAGAGATTTCCTGGTGCCTGTGTGGGGAGCCTGGTGTGTGTGTGGGGGTCCACCTTGGAGCCAGGGCTAGCTCTGGCCCCAGCCAGCTCTGCAGCCACTTAGTCTGTGGAGGGGGTGTGTCCTAACGCCCGCCGTCCCTCCAGAGGAGACCAGCCTCCCACGTGGCCTGACCTTGCTGTTCAAGGCGCCCCTGATGAGGTTGAGATTCCGTCAGGGAGACTAGTGGTCTCCGAGGGTCTCCATGGTCTCTGGCCTGGGGTGGTGGGAGCTGCAAAGGGGAGTTGGGGCTTTCTCCTAAATTTTGGGTTGTCTAGAGCCCACTGGACTAGAAGGACTGTGATTCCCAAGACCTAGGTCCCTGGGAGTGTGGGTGACACTGTTGCTCTAACCATTGGATCTTTGACGTGAACTCTGTGCAGCACATGGGGCAGGGGTGGGGGTGGAGGTGGGGTGGGGGAGGGGGGGCGCAGGGAGGGGGGGCACCTGCCCTTGCTCGTCAGGAAGGGGTGGTCCTCCCAGAACTCCCTGCCCAGGTGGGGGTGGGGGGCGGCAACTGCCCTCTTGGGCGCACATGGTCCATGGTGGAGTGGTGACTGGGCTGGCCCGGCCCCCATGACATCATGGGGTGGGGGGGCAGGTCCAGTGCAGTGTCCGGCGCTGGTCCCTACATCTGTGGGTGTGGCTGGACTGCCCACGTGATGGGGGATCGGGCCCCACATGGGATTGCCTGTGTGTCTGGAAAACCAGAGCAGTGCCCTAGTCTCGGCAACTGGAGCGTGCGAGTCATTTCCATCATTAAAACACAAATCGCATTAACAGGAAGTCCGGCTTTCCAGTTTCAGTTGAGTTTCGAGGTGGCTGTGGTCAGGAGGGGTCTGGGCCCCGCTCATGGCCCCATCTGCCTTTTGTCTTGCCAGACACCGATGGGGTTCCCAATGGGGAAGTCGATGCTGGTGCTTCTCACCTTCTTGGCCTTCGCCTCGTGCTGCATTGCTGCTTACCGCCCCAGTGAGACCTTGTGTGGCGGGGAGCTGGTGGACACCCTGCAGTTTGTCTGTGGTGACCGCGGCTTCTACTTCAGTAAGTAGCTCCTGAGGGGGAACGGAGGGTGCCCGGCCCGGGACTGAGCGGGGAGGGGGTGTGGGGGGCACTCCAGGGTCAGCGGTCCCACATTTACCAACCATTTGTCCCCTTTCACGAGGAGGCCGGGCCTCACTTGCCCTGTGCGTTCACAAGGCCTCTTCTCTGGGTCTGAGCTGCTAGTGGAGATGGTAGGGGGTGGCGGGAGGGGGGGGGGGAGCTCCCAGCTACTAAGCCATACACCTTTCTCCATTTCTGGCCATTTTGAAAAGGGGCCCAGGGGAGCAGACTCGGGCCTCACATCCTGCTCTGACTATATTGCTCACTCTTCCCCTTGGTTTTCCAGCTGGGGAGCTGGGGCCTGGCACTCTGCTGGAAGCAGAGGGCAGCTGGGGACCCCCTGGACCTGCGGTGGGCCACGGACCACCCTGTCTCCCCACTTGGCTCTCTCCACACAGCCTCCTCTGTGCCTCTGCTTAGCACCTGTGAAGTGCTCACAGGGTGTTCTTGCATTTCAAACCTTCTCTCTGCAAAGGACTCTGCTCCTGGGCGCTCTGAAGCTCCTCCCGCCTGGCCTCTCCGGTGCCCTCCCTGCGCCTGCCTGCCTGGCCTGGGTGGCTGGGGAACTTCAGGGTCTGTCCTTGCTCAGGAAGTCCCTCCTGAGCACCAAGCATCAGGTTTTCCCGAGAGGAGGGCAGGGCTGAGCCCACTTGTGGCAGCTCCCTCTCCTTGCCCCCCCCCCCATGGTGCTTGTCCTTTGGAGCCCCAAGAAGCCCCCAGCAAGCCTTGGAGCTGAGTGCTGTTGTGGGGGAGAGGGGGAAGGCGGGAGAAGAGAAGAGAGTGGTTTATGGGCTCCTCACTCCTCCCCTCCCGTCTTGTTCTCTCCTGCCCAGTCCCCCCCCCCCCAATCTCTCTCTCTCAATCTCTCTCTCTTTCAGTGCAGTGGGTGGGGGGGTAGTCCAGGGACCACACCTCACCTGTTTTCCAAACCATCAGAGAGGTGGGGCCATTGTAGAAAGGTTCTAGGCCGGTGGGAGGCACCGGAGGCCAGGGGCTGGACCTGCAGCCAGTCTGCCTTCATCCCCCCTGTACCGGCAGGGTGATCGGTGTTTGGCCAGGACCTAGGCTGAGGGCAGGGGCCAGCCTTTGCCCTCCACAGCCTTGGGGGGGGGCTGGAGGGCATGGCCGTGGGTACTGACTGTCTGGTGGGGCTCCAGGCAGGCCTGCAAGCCGTGCCAACCGGCGCAGCCGTGGCATTGTCGAGGAGTGCTGCTTCCGCAGCTGTGACCTGGCCCTCCTGGAGACCTACTGCGCCACCCCCGCCAAGTCTGAGAGGGACGTGTCGATCTTTCCGACCGTGCTTCCGGTGAGACGGGGGGCCTTCTGCTCACCTTCACCCAGCAGCCGGGATGGGGCACAGACAGGGGGTGGGTTGGGGGCCGGGGGTGTCTCCGTGTCAGGTGACGCACGGTGGGTGACTGGCCATTTCTTCGCAGGACAACCCCGAATACCCCGTGGGCAAGTTTTTCCAACATAACACCTGGAAGCCATCCACCCAGCGCCTGCGCAGAGGCCTGCCTGCCCTCCTGCGTGCTCGCCGGGGGCGCGCACTCGCCAAGGAGCTCCAAGCGTTCAGAGAGGCCAAGCGCCACCTTCCCCCATCGTCCAAAGGCCCTGCCCACGGGGACTCCTCTCCGGAGATGCCCAACAACCAGATGTGAGGCAAATTGTCGTAACTCTGCTGCGCCGTGCCACCGCCTGTGACCTCTCCTGGCCAGGGACGGCTCCATCTTGTCCCGCCTCTGAGACCTCTCTGTTCCATTTCTGCTCCATGGGCTTCTTCCACCTGCCCTCCTGCCCCGCCTCCCGTCAGGCTACTCTGCCCCACTCCATCGGGCTGAGGAACCAAAGTAACATCTTCAAAACTTAACTCAATTGGCTTTAAAACGTCCCTAAAATGCCCCCGAAATTGCCCCCAGTTGAATCTGCATATCAAAAACTTGATAACCAACCCCCCAATCTCATGCATAGTCCCCTTAAAACTAATTGGCATTTTAGAAACACCACAAAGGCTAATTAGCAATTTTAAAAAAAGATCTTAAAAAAAATCAATTGGCTGAAAAAAAATACCAAAAAAAAAATTGGCTTAGAAACAATTGGCAAAGTAAAGGAATTTGGCATGCCCCCCCCCCCCTTCCTCTCTGCCCCTTTGGACCTTGAGTCAAATTGGCTTAGACTTGGGTCTCTGAACCTAAGAGCAAGGAAGGGGACCAAAATGTCCAGTGGGCATGTGCTTGCTTCTGTGCTGTCTCCCCGGTGTGTCGCTCGAGTGCCAGCTAGCTGTTAGACAGCAGAGCCACCCAAACTCATTCTTCACTGTCTTAACACACCACAGCAGGTGAGGTCCAGCGAGACCACGGCAGGGGACAGAGCGTGAACACGGCAAACAAAATGTAATTGGCATGAGCCCCCCAACCCCCAAATCTCACATCTCAGTCCCAACCCTAAAAGGACAGGCCCCCACACACTACCTGCACCCACCCCCCCTCACAATTCACACCTGACACACTCACACCCCCCACTCACACACACACACACACACTCACACACACACACTTAATTAGATGAATACGCCGAGCAGAACCAATCAGCCCACCTCTCTAAGCCACACTTGGCAGATTAGGCCCAGGTCCATCCTAAATTCTCCATGCCGTTGTGCAGTCCAGGCTCCCTGACCACCCTTGGAGCTTTACCCCACAGTCCCCTGCAGCCTGAGCCTCCTCTGGGCTCCCAGATCAGACCCCACCCTAGCCGATGCCCTGTGCATCCTGTAAGCGGTCCAGCAGCGGTGAGGAATGAGTTTGGCCAGACCAGAGACAGCATAGCCAAGCAGGACATGTCTTTCTAGTAGCCTGACTCCCTGGGTGTGCTCTGGTAGAAAGATCTGGGGGATCCCTCCCACTGAGCACCCTAGGGGCCATCTTTGCCCCTCTCCTGGGAAGCCCTCCCTTTTGGGGGACCCCCAGGAGATGGACATGGATGGTGGGAGAGTGGGAAGTCTGGCGGTTTGGAGGGGCGGGTGGGGGGCAGTGGGGGCCCGGTGGAGGAGCCCCTGGAGAGGAGGTGGCCCGGGGAGATTTTCGGATGACGTGTCAGGAGGAGGCACAGGAAAGCTTGCAGAGTTACAGAGAGAGAAATTGGAGTCCAAATTTGAAGTCAGTTGATTCTTCCCCCTTTGTTTCTTGGGGCATCTTTCCTTTTTTTTTTTTTTTTTTTTCTTTTTTTTTGATCCCTCCTTAGCTTTTTTGCGCTCACGAAACCCGTCCCCAGTAACAGGGGAGCAGCGACCCAAGGACGGAAGCACAACCTCACCACCACCGTCACCACCCTGTCCTGCTCTCCGCCATTTATCGCCCTTGATTTGTTTTTTGTTTTGAGTCTGTCCTGTCGCTTGGGTTGAGTCGGGAGTGGAGTCCCTCTGGGGTGCGACCACCACCCCATGGGGGAACCGAGGGGAGGGAGAAGGCCGCAACCGGCCGGCTTCCCAGGAGGGTGGCAAGTCCTGGGAGGTTCTGAGGGGCGGAGGGGAGGGGCAGCGGTGCCTCCCAGGTGTCAGGAGGGTGCTCGGAGGTCACCGAGAAGGGGCCCCCAGCTGGCCGTGCCGGCTGGGGGGGAAGGGGCTCGGGAAGTGTAGGCAGAGAGGCTCCATCAGGCGGGAGCAGAGGTGGCCGCCTTCCGCACACCTGTGGGGTGCTCCCCCCTCCCTCAGCAACACCGGACCCACTCCTCAGCACCCTGCGTTGCCCCCAGGAGGTCTGGAGCTCTGGGGGCCTCCTGTGAGCGAGGTGGGGTGAGGCCGGGAGTCGGGGAGGCTAGCGGTCTTGGAGTCCACAGAGCAGGAGAGCTGCCGTTCAGGGGGTCGCTTGGGCCCTGAGGCCTGCGGGTCTGGCAATGCCTGGCAGCCACCGCCATGGTGCCTAGGGCTGTGCGGGGACCAGGGCGGCTGGAGGTTTACCTCACCCCCACTTTCTGCTTCCAGTGCAGCCCCCCTGCAGTGGCAGCCCGACTAGCAGTCTAGAGGCCGATGCTTTTGGGCCCTGGTGACAGGATTGGCATGACCCAGGGGGCGGTCCGTGCCAGTCCGACCACAGCACAGGGGTCGCACCGCCGTGTTCCCGCAATGGGCATTCGGAACATTGGACACAAACCCAAATTGCAAATTGTTGTCATTGGAGAGTACACACAGATTGGCCTGAGATCCAAAACCCAAACCTGAGAGGCACCCCAAATTGCCCGCCCATTCGGCTGGACACCCACCCAGTTCTACCGTGCTGCCTCACGGATGGGTGTCCCGGAGCACTGGCGGAAGATCACTGTGTCCCCAGCTTTGCAGCTCTCCCCACGGTCACGTCCCACCCTGACCTGGACACCTGCCTAGCCTCCCGTGCCTAGTGTGGTCCTCCATCTTGTCTCCCTCCCCCCACTGTCTTCGG